CTTTAACGGTGGTGTAAAGGATGGTGAGTTTTGAAAAATAAAATCTCACTAACATGGTGAATTTTTGACGTTTTAAAAAGTTATGATGGATTTAAGAGTATTGGGAAAAACTGATGGTGGGTTTTCAACAATTTCCCTTAAAACATTGATTTACTTCGTATTTCCCACGGTCACATGAGTCACGCACCGACGACCCGAGATGATGAGTCAGCATACCGAAATCCCACCTACTTCCAAGCGTCCAACGCCATAGGGAATCAACTCGAATCACCGGCGTTTTGATTTCAGATTACTTTAGGTCATCCATTTGAAATTTCTTTTCTTTCTAATCATTTCTTTAACTCTCTCTCTGTTTAAATTTCTTCATTATTGAATTGGTGTCTGTTTGAGATTCTAGTGGATATCCGAAAATAGGAATATGGGAATTGAGTTCACTTTTGCTACGAGTGTCGTAGAGCAGGGCTAAAACCCAGAATCAAGGCCTTTGATGTATTACAGTGGCCCCACCTTACTTCATCTAATTCAAGGTGTGGTCATAGAAAGGCATCAAAGGCCTTGATTTTGTTGTTTCAGCAATGTTATTTGATAGGGGATTTGGGAATTTTTTATGGTGTACAAGTGAATGAAAAAGGGTTGGTTTACCAAAAAAATTGACTGATCAGCAAGCTCAGAATTCTTTAACCCATCGGTGGATTGATGCCAAATTTACAGGCAAGATAGGATTTATATGGAGACTATTAATAAGATTATGGGGACTGTAATTCAGAATTCTGCAATGAACTGTAGAGTACTTTTCCCAAAATAAAAAATAAATGAAAAGGGTTTGTCAGAAGAAATATAAATTTTATGTATGCAAATACACTGCATTCATCACCTCATCCAATCTCAGCAATCAAAATGGCCTCATAAGAGTAGTTGGTCTATTATTTTTTTTGAGCTATATAATATACCAACTCAACAATGCAACAAGTTCACAGCAATCAACTCCTAAGATGAGTTGATTTATCTCAGCCATCCAAATGATGTACCAAGAGTTCATCCACTACCATTGCTCTATTGCCACCTGCCACCTGCCATCACCATTGTCCATGCACGATGCATCACTACCTTTTTCTTATCTCATCTTCACCCCTGCTTCTTTGCCACGATTTTCATTTGTACCTTCTCCACCACAACGAGTTCATCCACCTCCACTACTACCTCTGCCTTCACCCACACCACCAGCTTTTATTGTCATTTTTCATTTCTACCCATTCCATCCTAATATTCTCTTCTACTATCTCTCCTTCACCACTGCACCACCAACTCGCCCTCTCTCGAGTTTTGCTTTAAACAGCATAAAAATGGTATGGGTAATTTGGTAATTACCTACTGTTAACACCTTCAGGGGGTTCCACCTTGTATGTCAATACAGAAAATAGTGTGTCAAATCGCCCAATTAAGGTAGAGGGGAGGTCTTGTGATTTACCGTGATAATAAATATTCGGATGCATTGAAGAGGTATAGGCCCATATAATTGTCTAAGAAAGACTGGTAGCCAAAACATTGTGGTGTCTAAAGGGTATGAAATGTTCACTTCCTATTCACTTTGTATTTTAAATACATTGAACCTTCATCATATGATCATGGCCGTTAACTTCTTTTCCTAGCAGAATTTCTAAAATAATGCTTATTGCATGTTGAATGGTCAGCTTTTGTTAAGAGAAGGGCGAAATTCAGATCAGTATAACAATTTTGAACTTTGGCTCAAACATGAAGTTCTTGGAATACACTTCTCTAATAAGCAATCATTTCTTTGTTCAGCATAAATGATTTCCTTAGTCATATAAATCTTGGGGAGTGTACCATCAAAGGAAAACTCGATGCTTATTCTTGTAAGTACAAAGAAATTGTAACTCCAAGTTTTCTATGTTATGTGATTTGAAGAACTTGATTAATTATTTCTACTTCCTGTTTGTAAGCAAACTCGATGCTTATTCTTCATACAGAGTCTTTTTTTCTTATTAATGATTTTTTCAGATACATTTATGAGACGTTTTTGTGTGTGCATATATGTATGTCTAAGCAAGATATGAAGATGTTGATATGACACCCTTGGAGCTTGTTGATGGCCTAGGCAAGGTTTATGATAGAAATGAAGTTCCTTACTAATTCTTGTGGTGAGAAAGTGCTAGACTGGAAATTTAGTATAGAAGCTTTTGCAAGTGTTGTTGGTTTATAATCATAAATGATTTTATGAAGCTAGTGGGTGAATTTTGTGCTAATTCCATCGTTGAAAGGAGTACTTGTAACTTATGCAAAGTTTCGTGAGAAGTAGAAAACTAAGCAAATTATTACTTATACCATTGCTGCTTGTAATGGTAAAATCTCAGGCTGACAAGCATGAAAATTCTGAGAGCAGAAACTTTGCATGCAAAATGGATCAGGTTAAGTTCAATACCCAATCCACCCCTCTCAAGGCTCCATGGACCAACATTGGGTAATGGATTTTTTTCACAAATTCGTAATGTTTTTAAAACAACCCAGTAATAGAACTGGGTTGTATAATGACCCTCTTATAGAGAATGTGGAACCATAATGGTTCTTAGTGGTGCCTAATTGCAATTTGATGCTTAATTTTATTTCTCACAGTGGGACCTGGAGAGCAGTTCACAAAACATATATGAAGAAGGCATATGATCACAATTGCTGTGATGTTGATCGCAATTGCTTAGATTATGTGGAACCATAATTGTTCTTGGTGGTGCCTAGCTGCAATTTGATGCTTAATTTTATATCTCATAGTGGGACCTGGAGAGCAGTTCTCAAAACATATATGAAGGCATATGATCACAATTGTTGTGATGTTGATTACATGTTGAAAATATTCTTTTGAGGCGCAACAATGCTTGATTTTAGTGTCCGTGGTGGGAACCAAGAGCAGTTCACAGAATACAGATTGGGATCGTGTATGATTTCTTGTATTGTGATGCTGATCATCTTCTGTACCTGTACGAAATGGTTTTCTGGACTTGATATGAAGGAATGGATTAAAGTTTTCCTTGACACTACTTCCCCCATCAATCTTTAACAAGATTCTACTAGGAATTTTCAAAACGTTGAGAGAACTTTGACAGTGGATGTTGAACAAAGGTAATGTACTAAGCATGCTATTTCAAATGGTTGAATTGGGTTGTTGATTGGAAGATCTTTTAGTTGGTCATGCAACTCCAACCATGTTCCACCTATATATGGAAATGATTTTCTTTTCGCAAGGCACAAACATGCTGATATATGAGAGCACTCTTTTGTATCTTGAATCAATTATGGGCTTCAAACCATGATAGTCAAGCCTCAGGTGGGGCAGTCGGATAGAAGGTGCTGGAATTGGGATAGGTCAGGCTGCTGCTTAGTTAAGCATTTTTTTTTCATTGAGAAGGGGAATGGTTATCAACAATGTCCAGTGCATCTTTTGTACTTCTCAGGTAGAGTTTGTAAACCATTTATTATTACATTGTCTGCTTTTTTTCTTAGGTTTGGGCAGAGTTCTTGACACTTTTGGTTGGAAGGGATGCTTTCTGGAATCATTAGAATACTTTCTCCATGGCTGGAGGCCAATAGGTTTAAGTAGGAAAACAAGGGAAGATGTGTTTTTGTTTTTTGGTGCATTTGGACAGAAAGAAATGCGTAGATATGGGCCGGTCCAAGTCAATCCGCCATTGACTGAACTGGTCCAGTCTGATCCGACTAGACTGATTCAGATCTAAATGATTCAACCACTCTTGATGTGATTAGCTAAAAAATAATCCAATTAGATAGTTCAAGTTGGTCTGACCAGTTTGAACCTAAGTGGTTCGGTCAAACCCGAAACTCGGACATAATCAAATGGCTTCGCCACTTGTGTAAAATAACATGCATGTAATGTGATTTGAACCTTCACCACTTGTGTAAATAGCAACTACTATTACCACCAAGCTATGACCAATTTATTTGTCAAGGAGTTGGTTTTTTATTTTAAGTACATAAATATAAGATTAATGGGTTTGGGCAAATTGGATTGAGTTAAAGCGAATTTAGGCTGAACCCAACCCATTTTATTTTATATAACTGGGTCATTAATGAGTTGACAGGTTAGATGGATTGGATTGAAGCTCAATCCAAACCCAACCCAACCCGCCCAATTGCCATCGCTAGTCAAAGCAGTTCCGTTTTTAAAACCAAGGCAGTAACAGTAGAATGTATTAGTTACTCCTAAAATTAGTCTAAAACATCAAAATGGATATTGAAGAAAACTAATGGTAAAAAGGAATAGTATATATTAATGCATTATTATGATGAGCACATATCAATCAACTCCAAATGAGCTTAGGTTGTGGGAGGCATGTAATACAAGAATTCTCATCTAAACTAAACATGGTATCCCTATACATATTATATGTGCACTCTGGAGCTAATGTACTTAGGCTAAATTAATTTTTATAGAAAATTAAAATTTAAAAGTCAAGTATTGATATCCTTGGTTTGTTGTAAAAGTGGTATAACATTCGTATCCTGTTTTGCAAGCCAAAAACAAATAATTTACAGTGAAGACTATTGAGCATTATTTAGTTAATACGAGAATCACCTATTAGATGCATCCAATTGGAAAGATCTCTCTCTCCTCCTTGGTGCATCCACCAGGAGCTGACTGAGTGCAGAGCCCTCCAATCATTTTGCTCGTCAATCTCTCATGTAAACAGGGTGGGTACTACTATTGCTCACAGCCTAGCTCAACACACTTTGGGTTGTACTTCTAGTTTGAGCTGGGTGGATTCTCCCCAAAGCTTTATCATGACTTTATTATCTTGTGATTACCCCTCTTGATGTATCCTGTTTTACTTGGTGAATGGATGAAGCCTACGGGCTAATTTCCAAAAAAAAAAAATAATAATAATAATTGCGTAGCACTTACCCTATGGCGATCTGTGGATTGGTAGATGACCTTCAAAGCATTGAAGAAAAAAAATCAGAATTAACAAAAGAAACAAAAAATATTTAACAGTCAAATTCAAATGGACTTCACTTACTCCATTCATAAAGTCTTAGCTTCTGTCTTTTTCTTTAGATTTATTACAATGTCAACTACATCAAACAACACATGCACAGGGACTATAGATATTTTTACCAAATCATTTTAAGTGGGTAATGGAATCAAACTTTATTCCCTTGTTTCTTCACTACAAGAACCGGGCATTTAGAATTATGAACACAATAGTTGCTCACACTCCCTAGGACTGCCCTGTTTCAACAAATTCATATTAGAAATGAAGTATTGTACAAAAGAACAACTATACTTCAAACAATCACCTGATTTATCTTTCCATTGATAGATAAAATACTACAAAAATATTTTCTCATTATAATATCTAAAATTGAAAGCACATGATGAACCAGAAGAACGAATTATTTGCTGCTAGCATTTGCCTATGAGGTGAAATGGATATTGAATATAATAGTTGGGAACAGAATGAATGAAAAGGTCTCTGTAACAAAGATAAAGCCTTAATATGATAGGTTGATGAGGCCCAGATGCCAAATATGTTTTACTTCGGTCATGTGTAACTAAGGTTCATATTCAGAACACCATTTGTCACAACGAGAAAACTTAGATACCAAATATGCAGTTGCTTTGTTTCCAGACCCCAGAGAACAAAAAATACACGACTTGGAGAGTGACTTTAACGTAGCATTTTTGAGGTGAACAAAACTGGGAATTCAATACATTCCTTTTGATTTCTCCATTTAATTCTGAGTTAAAGTTGAATCTACCCTAGTTTGATGAGGCTCAGAAACAGATACAAACGTGGAACAGATATGGGAAAGAGAAATATGACTCTTCATTTCCTAAAATCCCAGACATGGAGAAAGTAGGTACTTGTATCCCATGTAATATGCTGAAATCATGTTTTATATCTTGTTTTTGAAGCCAAGGGGCTATTTGATAATAGCTGAAGTGGCTGAAGTGAACAACTTATTACTTTGTCTTTTATTTGATAAAATAATTAAATAACAAATTATTTTAAGGTATCCTGGCCTAATTATCCCAAATTCAGCCATCAAGGACTCACAACATCCTTAGTAACTTATTCACTGGAAGAAAAAGAATTGTCAATTAGCTGTTACTAAACAGCCCCTAAATGTAAAAAAAAAAAAAGTAAATAAATAGCATATGAGTAGTGAAATATCAACGAAGCACCTCCAATGTTGTAATTCAAATGTATAAATATGATATCAGTGTATTCTTACAACAAACATTTATATGCTATTATTTCATGCATTTGTGCATCCAATCTTCATAATTTTCTATTGTTTAGAGGTCATCCATTAAAAAGTCTAAAAATAAAAAATAAGGACTATTTTTTCTTAACGTAAGGTATTATTCGCATCCAGCTTGACATACTCATCAGTTATCTGAAGTATAAAATAGAACTGAACATTCACATCAAAGTATATATGCTTGCCATTACCCAACACTGGTTATCCAGGGCCTTGGGAGGGGTGGGCTGGATATGGATCTAACCCCTAGCATTTTTTACCATCAGAGCTAGATAAAATGTCATTACCACAGAGCTAGGTTCAGAACCTTCTAAACAGCAACCTCTGCTTTACCTGTCCCCCAAACTGAAGAGATTGAACCAAATTCTGATCAAGTAATGGTGAAATGCTAATAGTCTCAAGAAGATCATTTTCCCCTTAGGTGGGGGTGCCAGAAATTTGGTAAGAACCTACTCTATTGTTCTGATCAATATTAAAATGAACATCCTTCTCTTCTATAATAGTGTTATTTTTACCTTTTCTCACTTCTTCTGACCAATTAATAATATGCAACTACACATGTTCATACACTAAGGTGAAAGCATAAAAGGGTAAAATAGACTTCCATAATCATACTGGTATTAACATTATCCTATGCAACCAGAGACAGTTTGAATAATAACAATCTCAATGACATTCATGATCTATCAAGATGAGAGGAGACTTGAAAGGAATCTAGATAATGCAAGTGGATATTGCAAAAGATCACAAGGGGAAATTATATTAGCACATTACACCATGGGGGCAGAACACAAAAATCCCAGTAATTTAGAATGAAATGAAACCGTTGGTAGAAAATAATGACTTGAGGATGCAGACTAAATCTGAGTGATATCACATCGTTGTAGAGGAATAGCAACTCAAAAGGAAATCAACTGACCTTTTGAGAGCTCCCCGTCCATGGCTACCTAAAATAAGTAGATCGATGTTGAGATTATCCACTGCATGACATATGGCCTCTTTAGGATCACCAACTTCTGTAATTGTCTCTGCAATTACCTGTTGTAAGATAAAGCATGATCATTATCCTTCAATCACCAACTTCTGTCCCAAGGATATTGTGCATTTTGATATTCTTCCTGCACTAAGTGTACTCACTAAATGCATTTATTTCACCCATTGACATTTATATTCTAAAAATGAAGTAGATAAGCCATAAATGTCACCAACTAAAATTGGGGCAAAGGAACTAAGTTACCATACCCCTTGGCTAGCACAGATGCCTTTAGCCTTTTCCAAGAGAGCCAAAGCAACCTTCTTTTGATGTTCTTGGACGGATTTAATCAATTCTATATCTGTGTAACAAGGAAAATCAATTCTAGATCCATCAAATCACATGAGACCCATTGGCTGTATCAGCTTATTATCATTATAAATTGAACAGAAATTAAACGCAATCAATTCCTCTCTTTCCACAACAAAATTAAGATTAAAAAACGTAGGAAAAACTTGACCATAGGGCCATTTAAGGGCCATATTTCAGGTAGAGAATCCGAACTTCATTACTTTCTCATGACTCTCAGTAGAAGCAGTAAATGGCTTTATTACTAAATAAGTTACACACAAGTAACTCGTGTAAGAGGTTTATTAACAGAGAACAGATCATGTTCTAAAGAAGAAAGAGAACAGGAATATAAAGAAATAGGTTTATTAACAAGGGACAGACCATGTCTTCTAAAGAAGAAAGAGAACAACAAAACAATGCAAAGAAGTCGGTTAAATGAGTTACACACAAGTAACTGTAGCTCATGTAAGAGGTTTATTAACAGGGAACAGACTATGTCTTCTAAAGAAGAAAGAGAACAAGAACACATGGAAGTCGGTTAAAGAAATAGCAGAGTTAACTTCAAAAATCAAAATTAGATCCCCTCTTATCACACCCAAAAAAAAAAAAAAAAAATCCCCTCCCCAAAAGCATCAAAAGCATAGATACAAAAAAGGGGTACCGCCGAATCATAACTGGTAGAAGGAGGACAGAACATGCGAGCAGAACCGGGCGATGCCGCAGGGAGGTAAGAAAAATCAGCTATTGACTGAACTGTGAAGATGATGAGCGACGACGTGGAGAGAGAATCATGAAGATTGTCAAGTACCCACTTGAGCGCGTAGTGACTACACTCGCTTTCATCAATGGCGATCATCACCTTCTTCCTACACGCCAACTCTTCCTCCGTCATGTCCATGTTTTCGAACTTCACACACCCAACAATGATGCTCTTTTGTTAGCTGATTCTGGCGGAAGCGCGAAGGAGTTTTGTGTTCTTCATTTGGGTAACCAAGATATTTTGCAGACAAAAATGGTTGGTGGAATTTCAAAACGATTAGTCAACAGTGAAACTCCGACATCCCACGGCCACACCATCACCTGGATTCTATTACCCCGTCCTGTTTGAGACCAAATCAGCCCCCCCCCCCCAAGATTGCCCCCACACGATATTTACAATACACGGCACAGGGATGTGCTGTGGGACGTTGTGGGGGGCTGATTTGAACTCGTCCTGTTTGGCTATTGGATTGATGTCTAACTTGGATAATAGTATATCCAGAATGCCCAAGTGAAAAGGACAAGTTGTTATCATAAACTGCATATGTTTAGAAGATCAATTGATCTGAACCGTAAGATCTTGAGTTTGTGGACCAACGTCATTGATTGCGGGAAGCAGAGGTGAATGCAAATCGAGCTGGTGGTGTGTATCAAATTCGCAACTTATCGGCTCGTATCAGCCGATAAGTATCGTTTTGGAATATTTCCGTAATACACGGAGAATAATCTTTCTGGGCGTGTGGGACAACACACGCAGGAGAGATACATTTGGCTACCCAAACGAAGATCCATGTGTGGAACAGTACACACGCACTAGAGAGAAGGGTTTAGTAGATCTCTCTACGCATTACACGTACACCCACAGCACACACGGTGAAGGGTTTAGTAAATCTCAGTAATGATGGTGAATGTAACAGTTATTGTGGTAAAGGTTTAGAGAGGATGATGAGTAATTTTTCTGGGCGTGTGGGACATTATACATTCATCCATTTTCGTGTGATTCTCTTTTCTCTTTTCTTCTTCATTTGGAATTGACATGGTATCACAAGAGGCTGCTCTCTAATCTTATTCTTTTTTTTGTCACTTTCTGTGAGTAGTAATCTCATTTCTCTACCGAGATCTATTAAACCCTTCGACCGGTGGAGTGTATAGGGCTATTTTTTATCAACCCTACTTGCTGTACAGACAAAGTCCGAACTCTGCAGGAGAGATTTCATTAGATCTCTCTTGGGAGATCTCAGATCAAGGCCAAACTTCAGATCTGGTGTCACCAAGGCCAAATCCATCCGTTGTACAAATATCTCTTGATTTGGTGAAGTTTTGAAGGGTTTTTGATCCTCTTCCTTGAGCGGAGGATACTACTTATAGTTTCCTTTCTTGGACTACTGATTTTTCAATTGAGGTTCCAGACATCGTTTTCTTACTCTAAGGGTCTCAGTGATTCCTGATGATTATTATCTCCATCTCAAGGTATTCCTCTTGACTTCTGGTGATTGTTATAATCTTTTCTATAGTTTTTCTTTGGTTTCTTGGCCGAATATAGGATCTGAAAGGAGTGACCTCATATCTGTGAAATTCAGTGGAACAAATTATGCTCTCTAGAAATTCCATTTCCAATTTTTTTTTTTTTTTTTTGTTGAAGGGAAGGGTTTGTGGGGCTATCTGGATGATACCACAACCATTTTTTATGCTACAAATGCTAAAGGGATGAAATAGTGGAAAATCAGTAATGCCCAAATAGTTTTCTGGATATTAAGTTTAGTCACTGCCGATGTGACTATTCCTATAAGGGGCCTGTAAATTACTAAGAAGATGTATAACTACCTTGAGAAGGTGTATCAGCAGTCAAATATGTCCAGACAACATCAGATTGTAATGGACATATTCTCATACACTTAGGGGAGAGAAGAATACAGGAATATTGCGCTGGTTTTATTAATCTTTGGACAGAATATGAACTTGTTCATCTTGGGGCCAGAGTGATTGATTGTTGTGTGACAACTATGAAAAGGCATTTTGATCAAAGGAAGATTATGCACTTTCTTACGCATCTTAGACCCGACTATGAGTTGATAAGATCCAGCATAGTCAGTAGGGAAAATGTGCCTGACCTGGACACCATATTAGGTAAACTATTAAGGGAGGAGACTAGACTATACACTCAGTCCTCCCTTGACAGCAAGAAAGAACATAAACATGATACATTTTTCTAGCTACTAAGCCAAAGGGTAAAAAGGACTTTTCCAAGATGCAATGCTATGAGTGCAAGGAGTTCGGGCATGTTGCCTCTTAATGAAAGAAAATGAATTTTTGTACTTACTGCAAACAACAAGGTCACATCATTACTGAATGCCCCATCCGACCTCCCAAGAAGGGTCAATACAAGGCACTTCAGGCAATTACAGAGCCTTCATCTAATATTATTGTCTCCTCCAACTCAGACTCAAAGGGGGAGCCTTCTGGTACTTTGATTGAGGATAAGATATGATAGCTTGTGTCCTCAGCTATTTCATCTACCTTCTCTGCTATTGACCTGTTTGGTAAGTCTTCTACCACTTGCTCGTCTCCTAACCATATGTGGATTAGAGATTCTAGAGCCTCAAATCAAATGACTGGGGCCTCCTTTGGTCAGACTCCTAAACCCTACTCTTCTAATGATTAGATTATTACTACTAATGGTGAGTCATTAAAAATTGCTAGTTGTGATGATTTATTTCTTTCTACCTCTCAATCATCTTCCTTTCATCTCCCAAAAACCTTCTTTATTCCTCAACGCAATGGGAGGTGAAGGGGAAAGGGAGTAGGCTTGGGAGGTTGTTTGCTCTTGAGTTCGAGAAGAGACCTTCATCCTCAGCTTGTTTTCTTTCTACTACTAGTGATGTATTACATTCTCGTTGTAATAATGTGTGGCATTTATGGCATAGACGTTTTGGCCACACACATGATAAGAACTTGGATCATCTATTTTATTCTGGTTGTTTACCTACTATTAATTCTGTTTCTAGGAATATTGATAAATCTTGCATAACTTGTGGTCTTAGTAAAAGTCATATTTTACCATTTTCATCTTCACCTGTGCATATTACCATTCCTTTCCAAGTAATACATAGTGATGCTTGATTGTCTCCTATTATATCTAAAGTTGGATTACAAATGCTTTGTTTTATTTATTGATGATTGCAGTAGATATACTTGGATTTATTTCCTCCGAAAGAAATCAGAATCACTTTCCACCTTTCAGAACTTTCATACCATGATAATAACCCAACACAATACCACCATTCGTATTCTACATTCTAACTCAGGGGGAGAATATTTTGATGGGGAAAATGGAGAATTTCAAACCTATTTAATGAAACATGGTATTCTATCTCAAAGATCTTGTCCAAGAACTCCTCAACAAAATGGAGTTGTTGAACACAAGAACCAACACATCTTGAGTATGGTGAGATCCCTCCTGCTTGACTCTCATGTTCCCGTTACCTTTTGGGTGGAGGCATCCAACATTGTTGTGTATCTCATTAACATCATTCCTTCTTTAGTTCTTGGTAATCAATCACATTTCTATTGTCTTTTTCATTGTTCTCCAAACTACTCTACACTTCATGTTTTTTGTTGCATTTTCCTTATATATCTTCCTCTCCCCATGAGCACACTAAGCTTACTGCTCAATCATCTATGTGTGCCTTTATGGGGTACCGTTTATAACATAAATGATTTCTCTGTTATGATCCTAAAGTTCACCATCTCTGTAAATCTCGAAATGTTATCTTTTTTTGAGAATCTGTCCTTTTTTTAATATGTTGTTAAATTACCGACACCATCTTTCTCTATTCTACATAACTTTACTCTTGCAAGTGATTCATTCTTGCCTCTTCAAGTCTATCACAAGAAGTATCCAGTTGCACCAATGTCTATGCCTCCTCCTCCATCGACCCTGATGCCTGTTCCTCTGACATCCTCAGACCTTGTGCCATCCACATCTATTTCTCATGTAAGTAATCCTTCACCTCCTACTCCCACTCCTTTACAACACTCTTCCAGAGTTACTTGTCCTCTTGACCGCTATGGATATTCTACTATTCATAGTTCCCTTTCTACTACTTTGTCTTCCATAGATATCCCTAAGTCTTACTGACATAATGCAACAATTGGCCATTGGAAAGCTACAATGGACTTGGAAATTCAGGCCCTATTGGAAATGATACTTGGGAGCTTGTTTCTCCTCCACAAGATGCCTCCATTATTGGCAGTCGTTGGGTGTACTCAATCAAACTGAATTCTACTGGGAGTCTAGGTAGATATAAAGCTCGCCTTATTCCTCAAAGGTACAAATAAGAACATGGCATTGACTATGAGGAGACATTTGTATTGGTGGCTAAGATGACTACTGTTCGGCTTATTCTTGCTATCGCTGCTATTAAACAATGGACTGTTCATCAGATGGATGTTAAGAATGCCTTTCTTCATGGGCATCTCCGTAAGGTACTGGATAGATATAAAGCTCGCCTTGTTTCTCAAAGATACAAATAAGAACATAGCATTGACTATGAGGAGACGTTTGTGCCAGATGCTAGGATGACTATTGTTCGGCTTATTCTTGCTATCACTGCTATTAAACAATGGATTATTCACCAGATGGATGTCAAGAATGCCCTTCTTCATGGGCATCTTCGTGAGATAGTGTATATGAAGCCTCCTCTAAGCTACTGGATAGATATAAAGCTCGCCTTGTTGCTCAAAGTTACAAACAAGAACATGGCATTGACTATGAGGAGACGATTGTGCTGGTGGTTAAGATGACTACTGTTCGGATTATTCTTGCTATCACTATTATTAAACAATGGATTATTCATCAAATGGATGTCAAGAATGTCTTTCTTCATGGGCATCTCCGTGACACAGTGTATATGAAGCCTCCTCCAGGCTACTGTGACGATTTTACTCTAGTATGCAAACTAAGGAAGTCCTTGTATGGGCTTAAACAAGCCCCACAGACCTAGTTTGAGAAGTTCAGAGGGGTTATTATTGAAACAGGATTTCAGTAGAGTGCCTCAAACTATTCCCTCTTCATTCTTCTCCGTCCTCAAGGAGTGACTCTTCTACTAGTGTATGTTGATGATATACTTATTACTGGTGATGACTTGGAAGGGATCACTTAGTTGAAGCAACTTCTCAGTCAGTCTTTCAAAATGAAGGATCATGGTCTTGTGACCTACTTTCTTGGTCTTGAGATCACTAGAAGTGCTCGAGGATATTTTGTTAATTAGCACAAATATGCTAGTGACTTGATTAAGATGGCCAATCTCTCTGACTTGAAGCAAGTTGATACCCCATTGGAACTCAACCTTAAGCTCAGTAAGGATGATGGACAACTCATTCCTGATGCTACATTATATCATCAACTTGTTGAAAACCTTATTTATCTTATTATGACTCGGCCAGATATATCATATGCTTTGCAGATAGTTAGCTAGTTTGTATCAGCTCCTCGACAATCTCATTTCTCTGTTGTGCTTTGGATTATCAGATATGTTAGAGGCACCTTATCTCATGGACTTTTCTTCTCATCTTCCTCATCTCCTTAGTTGACTACTTATGCTGATGCTGATTGGGTTGGTTGCCCTGACACCAAACGGTCCACCACTGGTTGGTGTGTTTTCTTATGTGATTCCCTCATCTCTTAGAAGTGTAAGAAGCAACAGATAATCTCCAAATCATATATTGAAATCGAATACCGTGCCATGTCCTTTGTTTGTAGTGAGTTTGTCTGGCTTAAAGCCCTTCTTCTTGATTTGACCATTGATCACTCCTCTCCCATCCCTTTATTTGGTGACAACATGTGTGTAATCAAAATTGCTTCAAATTCAATATTCCATGAACGGATTAAGTATATAGAGGTGGACTGCCATTTCATTCAAGGTCTTCTCATTACTGATCACATCACATTGCCTCATGTGTCTTCCAATCTTCAGCTGGCCGATCTTTTATGTAAGCATCAGTTTGAGGAAGAGTGTGGAGAGGACGAGGGTTAACTTTGTAGTTTTACTTTCTTTTATTTGACTCTTTTGTATATCTCTTTGTACATTACTGTACATATTTTACACTTGTAAGGATACAACTGCTCATTCTTACATTACTGTATTCTGTATATATTCTGGCGTGTGGAATGGAACAGTACACACCCATCCATTTTCGCGTGACTCTCTCTCTGGTTAGAGTTTTCTTTTTTCAACATTTCATTCTTCCATTTTCGTGTGACTCTCTCCTTTTCTTGGTAAAATGCAAAGGAAAAACTTCAGAATAGCTCATGTTTCTTAATTTGGTTGAACTCTATGGACTACAGCTTGGATGGTTGGATTCCAGCCAGCTTAGCAATTAACATGTGTATTATTAATCATTAGTTTCTAACAGTTTATTCAAATATTGACCCTCATATGATGCACCAGATCCATGGTGCTCAGGGCACCATCTGGGTCCCACATGATTGACGGCGGTGTTGGAAGGCACCATATTCCAAGGCACACTTCTTGGTTTAGACTCCAAAATCCAAGTCAAGAGCTTCATCAATATCATGTGAACCCACTGTACCTATGGTTGGCACTCAAAATTAAAAAAAAAATGTTAAAACTCCTTTACCTGTTAAAATTTTCCTTGTAAAACATAATAAATAAATAATACGGAATGCAAAGAATTTTCATCAAAATCAAAACAAACTGTCAAATTTTATTTTATTTTTAGGTAGAGAAACAAACTGTACATCTATTTTGACAAAAGAGAACCCTCCTAACAATGACATCTACGGATCTGATTTAGGCCAGAGGGTTGAGCAGGTATAATACAAGAAACCTCCAACCATATTGGCCACAACAAACAACTAACCACTTCAAAATATCTTTAAGTTGGTGATGCGAATGAGCCATCTTTCAAATTCAAGCTGGTTTCCTCACAACAAGAATGGGGCACTTGGCATGATGAACACAGTAGTCGCTAACACTCCCCAAAAGGGCCCTGTTTCAAGGAAAGAAGGAATCATCTTAACATCCAGGCTATGCAACAAAGAAACATTGATTTAGCAGAAGTATTTGATGAAGTTTGTCTTTAGATCCTACTAGACCCATACCCATATATGCATATACATTCACACACTAACTGATTTCTTCTGATCAGGAAAAAAACTAGGGGTCCCTTTAGTTTGTGGGAATATGGGTTTGGTATCGGAATCAGAATGGTTCATTCCAATTCCAACCATTTGGTTGGGTGGAATCGGAATTCAATTCCCACTTCTAGTGGAATAGCATTCTGCCATTTGAGGGAATGGTCATTTGAGGGAATGAGAATCCATTCCAGCCAATTCTGATTTCAATTCCAATTCTTATTCTAACTGTGAACCAAACGGACCCCTAGAATCAAGCAGGACTGCAGAGATGAAATCAGAATACTGCAATAACAATAACGGGAGAATATAAATTAATTATATATTTTATAATTCAATCAGAGCATAAGCTGAAGGAAATTATGAATATGAACCACATTGTATTGTCAAAAAGAAACAATAAGGTCACCTACCTCTTAATAATTCCCCGGCCATGGTTACCTAAAACCAGTAAATCGATGTTGAACTTTTCAACTGCTTCACATATAGCTTCTTTAGGATCACCGTTTGCTGTAATTGTCTTTGCAGTTACCTGTAACAAAACAAACCTTAGCATCACTGCATATTCTTAATGAATGCTCCAACTTCTTAATGAGCATAGGGTAACTAAAATGCATGCTTTGATGCAGAGAGGATGTCAAAAAAGAAAAAAAAAAAAAACAAAGAAAAGAAATAATCTTAAACAGAAACAGGAAACAGTATCAGACACGAATTGAACTAAAATCATATTTCTATCAATAAGGAGAGAGTTTAACAATATGGACTTATTGCCGATCACTATTTGAATACATGGTTCTAATAGCCATTAACTATAAGTTCCCCATTTAATTTTCCAGAGGAGATTCATTCACCAGAAAAAGAAAAAAGCAGATCATAGAACATTGTATTGGAAACTTTGTAGTTTTACTAATGACATATCAGAAATGAAAACTTGCAAACTAAAGACAACATTACATCTCATCTATAATATCTAACATAAACTTCAATAATATTCTACTGAACTTCATTGCGAAAACAACAAAGGATGGTTCCTTGGCCCTTAATATCTCAAATGACAACCTTTGCCAAGTCAATTCATCATCTCAGTCTATGTTGTAAGTGCAGAAGCAGAAGACATCTATATGCAACACCAGAGCCAACCTTTTTCATGCAACAGAACAAATGTATTAAAACTTCAATGACAGTAATTAATGCATGTATCATAATACCATTCCAACTGCACGTCTACGGAAAAATTGGAAATTGAAGTACAGAATGTACTGCTGTCATCCACTGTACAAATTACAAATTTTTAATGAAAAAGCCCAGGTGAATTGACCATACCCCACGACGTGCACATATTTCCTTGGCTTTTGCAAACATTTCTGATACTGCCTTCTGTTGCCATTCCCTGACTGAATCAATCAACTCTGGATCTGCAAAAGAAAAAAATAAAATGACAGAACAGGTAAGGAAAAAAGATACTTCAATGCTTTAAATCAGTCCATTACATAAAATCCATTTAACAAGATAAAAGAATCGATCTATCACTAGCAGAGCTTTTGTTTTCTGACTAAAATCCCTATAGAGCCCTCCCTAGCCTTTTTTTATTATTGCATATTGAATCATATTAGTCTCTCTCATGTAGAAACTTTCTGTTCATATTGTCTCATGGATAAGACAGTCAGTTCCCTTTTAGAATGCAACAGAACAAAAATTCAACAAAAAACAAACCCAAAACTTTTTAACTCAAAACACGAAAAATTAGTTCAACCAGTACGCAATTTCTGCAAATAGAAAATCGACAATTGGGAGGGAGGGAGAGCTTACTGGCAACCCCATATAGATAATTGTAATCGGCAGCAGGCTGCGCAGTAAAGATAGTAAGGGGCGAAACCGAAAAGCAGTGGCGAAGATTGTCGAGAGCCCAGTGGAGGGCATAGGTGCTGCATTCACTCTCATCAACGGCCACCAACACATTCACCTTTCTACTCTCCTCTTCCCTCTCTGCCACCTTACTCTGTTCTCCTTCATTTGCCATTTCTCTTCCCTTCTATACCGACTAGAATTCCACTCAACCTCACAAGACAACTCCTTCCTCTTTGTAAATTGCGTAGATCTCTTCTAACAAGATCGAATGAGGATTTGGGAAATATCACCTCTCTATTTATTTGCTGAAACGATGTAGCGACGGTATAGATTTCCGTCTATCTTGACCCTTTGTGTCAACTGTCGACTCAGCGACAGCGTTTCTCAACCCAATCCCATTCAAATATTCAAACTCCTCCGTAAGTTTTGGCAGTTGGGATTTCGGAGTTCGGACGGTATAAGAACAAGATACCCTGCGCAGGTGACAGACTAACAACTTGATTGCGGGTTTGCCACGTGGCTAATTCCCAAACCCAAAGAAGGAGATAGGTAACAAAACTCGTCAACCCGAAAACAACACTGGGCGCTGACTGCAGCACACAGCTTAGCTCACTTGTTCCAATTACGCTACCAAACCAATCTCAAAAAACCCAGGCACATAGTTTCGGCTGTCATTCTCACATCCGGTTTCAACGTCGATACGTAGCGGAGAGAGAAGAAAAAGGTCAAAAAGAGGGAGGAATGAAAGGGACTGTTTAAGGTGGGGCGGGGGCTCATAAGTCATAACTCACCAGTCACCACGTGTTGGCGTATAGCATGCCTGCATTTGCATACATAGATTAGATTCGGATCAATCAGTTAAACGACTCAAACGTCAAACCCACTGGATGGGTCCCACTCCCACCCCACGGAGATAGAAGAATCAGATCAATGAGCTTGGTGGGGGTGGGGCACCATTTTCTCATCATCGGATTCGGATTCAGAGGTTGTGGGCTGTGGAGTTGGTGCTTCTTCTTTTAAAATTAAAATTTATCATCTATTAAATAATTAAGCATTAATTATGTAAATATGTAATCAGCTTTATAATAATCAGTAGAGTACAAAAGTGGTCGACCAATGTGCGTCAATAATGACGATATATGCTTCTCAATCTCGTTAAAGTTGTAGGCTGTTTAGTGCGTTTTGTTTCATTTTGGATAAGATTTAAGCCTAAGGGAGATATGTATATATTTCCACAAAAAAATAAAAAAAAAGAAAAAGAAAACATCCTTTCTCTAACTTCTTGGTCCCGAGGAAGTACTACTCTAAAGCAAGCAAGCAAGGGAAACCAGACTGTTTACTCCTCCAATAATGCCCACAGAAATACCTATTTCTGGTTTTTCAACCGAAAATGAATCTTATTGCTTTATCCGGAGTCCATACATTACCAATGGAGACCACAGTTTTCTCTAGCAACCCACACTCGAAAGTCGAAACACAAAACCGTGTTTTAAAAACAAACACCTCACAATTTCCTTTTTACTGTTTTCATTAGCTAACAGAACAGAACTAATAAGAAACAAGAGAATTCAACATAGAAATGAATCACCATTACTTCAGAAAAGTTCAGAATAAACTACATATCCCCATTTCTTTTGTTATTGCAGTATTATGAAAAGTGATCGATCACTTACTTCAAAGATGAGGAATGGAGGGCACTAGACTAGGTCAGTATTCAGTAATTAGCTATGTAAGAGGCACAATGGAGGCCACACCCATGACCCAACAACATAGGTTTCTGACAACAAAGACTGGACACTTGGCATTATGAACACGGTTATTGATGACACAGTACTCTACAGAAGTCATGTTTCGACAAATTTGTCCAAATTTCCAGCAAAGCTAGAGAAACTATGTACGGCAACTGATTGTGCAGTTCAGAAAAAAAAAAAAAAAAACTGTTGTATAAATACCAAAAGAGGAGAATTTAGAAGTCCACAATTCATCTCTCAGCAACTTATCATCCTCATCATCCAAGCCTTATCCGATTTATATGGTGTCAGTTGCATGAGTCCTGTTTTGCCATTCTCTTCTGTTCAACATTAATTATAAAATATATAAATTCCTCTAATCAAAAGGCACAAGGTGGTATCAAATGGACATCCAATTAAGAAACCATCAATCATCGTAAATTCATAATTATCATCACCTAGGCCTTATCCAAACTATATGAGGTCGGTTATATGAATCTTTATATCAATTAAAGTAATAGCTTGATATAAATTGGTTATATGATACATCATCTCATACAAGATCACTATCTTTATATTCTGCAATTCCATCTTATGCAATGTTCTGCTTTTTATTTCAAAAGTTATGCATTAAGATCCAAAAAACAAAAAAAAAAAATCCAAAGGAAATTTTGGTGGAATAATTCCAACAAAACCAAGAAAACCCATTGAGTCAATTGGGAGGTAATCAATAGGATTAAGGTTATATCTGGGAGTGTTTATGTTAAAAATAAGTGTTTATTGAATAAGTACTTATTCATTTGACACTCAACTTTTTTAAGTGCTTATTTTAAAAAATAAGCATTTATTTCATCTTGGGCATTTGATGGTCTTTTTTCTTCAATAAGCACTTAAATAAGCAATTGTAACTTTTTTGTCCTTCATTTTCTTTCAAATTTTCAAAACATCCAATCCAAAGTGAATGAATAAAAGCATTTGATAGAAATGTTTTTATAGAAGTGCTTTGATAAAAATACTTTCATAAAAGTATTTTCTTGTAAAAGGGCTTTCGTAAAAGTACTACCATAAAAGTACTTTTATAAAATTACTTTCATATAAAAGTATTTTTATAAAAGTGCTTTCGCAAAAATACTTTGCTTTCGTAAAAGTACCTTTCATAAAATTACTTTTATAAAAGTATCGTTGTAAAATTGCTTTTGTACAAGGGTATAATTGGCATTCTAAAAATTTACCATGGATAATTTTGGGAGTAAAAATTTGAATAAGTGCTTATTGTATCAGCACTTCAAAAATAGTTGGAAATTTGGGCTTAAAAATAAGCCCTTATTTTTAAAATAAGCACTTAATTCGGGCTTATTTCTCAAACACCGATAAGTGCTTAATGGTGTGGTCACTGCCCAAATAAGAACTTATTTTGAATAAACACTTATTTTTAAGCACTCCCAAACATGGCCTAAATTAAGTGGGGGACCGGGCTTCGAAGACCCCCACTATTTCAATTTGCCTCTTTTAAGTAAACATGCATGGAGGCTTTACAAGGGGGAAGATAACTTGTGGGTCAAGGTAATTAAGGCAAAATACCTTAAAAATATGAGTTTTTTTTTTTTTTTTAAATCCAAAGTCCTCTAAGAAAAGATCATGGGGGTGGTAGAGCTTGCGATCATCAAGAGAAATCTTAATCTAGGGTTGGTGTTGGACAATAAACTCTAGAGATAAAGCCAGAATTTGGGAAGACCCTTGGTTCCCAAAAATTCAGGGTCATAAAATCCATGGACCGAAACCAAGAAACTCACATCTTAGTTTGGTTAAAGATCTAATCATAGAAGAAGAAAGGAGATGGAATGAAGAACTAATTAGACAAAGTTTCTTAGAGACTTGTGTGGAAAACATATTAACATCCTACTAGCCTTTGGAAACTGGCTGAATAATTTGCACTGGAGCATGATAGAAAATGGGGTTTTCTCTGTCAAGTCTGCATAATTTGTTACGAAATATTTATCAGAAAGTGGAGATGAATACACAAATCATCTGAATTATACTAGTATGGTCCTAGGAAAAAAGCATTAGTAACAAATTTGAGCCCTAAAAATTGACTCAAAAGTGAGGGTTCGTTTGGTTCATAGTCGGAATCGGAATCAAAATCCTTTGGAATCGGAATCGAAATGGCCTATTCCCAGTTGAAGGGATGAGAGATCCATCATATGGATGGTCAAACCCTACAGGAAGGTAGGGAAAAATTTCAAAAATTTCTCTCTCTCCCATCTGGGAATCACATTCCCTGTTTTAGAAAAACTGCATTTTTCAAGGATCAATCTTGAACCAAGAACCGAACCAGATCTGAACCAAAACAGTAGGAGAGGGATATACCTGATAAGAAGAAAATAATATCTTCCAATGGAGGTGTTCACGCCCAAAGAATGATCCAAGACTGCTCCCACTGAAGATGACACAATGCAGGGTGGAGCAAAATCAATAGTGTTCTTCCAAAGAACCAAATCCTTCACCAAGAATTCGCTGGAGGGTAGGTGAGCATGACTCCCAATCAGTTTTCCACCAAAAAATGATGTCAAGAACGCTTCTTGATTGCTCCTACAACAATGGAGGTCGAACTGGCTATGGCGGCAACTGGAGGAGAACGCAGGGAGAAGATGGCGCAGTCACACTGTTGTTGTCTTCTCTTTGAGTGATCTGAGATTTGATCTCTGGATCTTGGGATGGGCTGAATGGTTCGCCCTCTCCTCCTTTTATAGGCTTAAAGAGATCAGCTCCTAATCCCATTAGGAGTTTCCTGATTCAAATCCTTATTTGAATCTGGACTCTCTTTAAGTGATAAGGATAAAATCCTTATCTTATCTGCAGATTAGATCAGCTCTCTCCTAATCTCATTAGGAGGTTTCCAGATCCAAATTCAGATCTGGACTCTCTGAGTGGATAGGGATAACTCCCTATCATATCTACTGATCCAGTCCCAGATCCGTCCCTCTTTAATTAGTCCAACTAAACCAGTTCGAAATGGGCTTTAGGCCCAATAAGTTTGTGTGCTCATTAACCTTCCAAATTGCTGCCCAGTTGGACTTCTTTGTATGGTGTGAGACCCAAATATTGATCTACACATCAGCCACATGGGTTCAGCCCAGCCTCTTTTACAAGGCCTGGCCGAATTCACTGAAAAGACAATGAACCCCCTGAAGCCCATCACATGGACTCGTAATGGGCCCAACACTTACACTAAGTGGTCCCTAGGCCAAGTCACCTTATAAAAACCCAAGGATTGTGAGCAGATGCAAGATTAGCCCATCAAGTATTACCCTCAATGGTCTTACACTTAACCTCTCAGCCCATAATGATCAAACACTGCCCGACAAGAGAGGACATTTCCCTCGGCTGCAAGGAACAGTGCTGCACTCTCTGCTCACATGGATCCCAGGAATTAAAACCTTTTGCAAACATTT